CAGGGAGAACATGCAGACTCCACACAGAAAGGCCCTGGGTCAGCCGGGGCTTGAACCTGGGACCTCCTTGCTGTCAGGCGACATCTAACCACTGCACCACCATGTTTCCACCTATGTTTTTATTTTATTATATTTAGTTCTTTGTCAGCCAGTAGAATAGAAGGCAGCACCAGCCCACTCTAGTTTGTCATCCTCTTCTCCTCATTTTGGTGTGCCAAGCAGCAATTTGCTCAGTGCTTCTCCCTTTCAGTGGTGGGGGTGAGGTAAACTGTACGATGCCCGATTGTATAAGGTCAAACGACACTATCGGCCAAACTCCTTCCCACAGCGAGGAGACAAACAAAATCCACTAGGACAGGATTTGTACTTTATCAGAAGTGTTTTCAAACATCGCAGTCAGCTTTTTCAAGACTTTAACCGTCACAACGATGTGGCTGGTTCTGCATATGTGTGTACAGTTTGTTTTGTTAACACACAACCGTTTATCCTATGTTTCTGCATCATGCATCCATCTGAGTAAAACTAGGAAGCTAAGAAAAGTGCGCTGGGAAAACATTTCAATATGCAATTATAATAAGAGCAATCATAAATATGCATATATTCTTATATTTTTTAGCAGCTGGCAGGCATCAAATGTGACAAATTGCACTGGTGGTCAACTTACAGGAGAAGCTCAAACATTTTAGCTAACTACACTAAATGTTAATGTGGAGTTTACTACAAAATAATGAGTGGCCCTGATTCACATGTACAGAATAATAGTAGAGAAAAATATTTCTTTCCCAGAAGACCCATTTGTGACCAAGCTTTAACTTCCTGGCGGATGTCTTGTGATGTTGCTTCAGTATATCCACATCATCTTCCTTCCTCATGATGCCAACTATTTATAAAGTGCTCCAGTCCCTCCTGCAGCAAAGTGCCCCAACAACATGATGCTGCTGCCCCCGTGCTTCACGGTTGAGATGGTGTTCTTTGGCCTGCGAGCCTCCCCCTTTTTCCTCCAGCCATAACAAGCTTCTGATTCAAACTGTCACAGCTGGTAATAAACACAGGGTAGCAAATGTCTCTACTTGTGTGGCAGATGTTTAGCAACCTCTTACAATTAAAACATACTGTCTTTATGATCTCCCCGTTTACTGATCACTTAGTACAGCTGTACTGGAGGTATAGGTATACTTCCTATGTTAAATTACTACTGATGCAAACCAAACAACTTCTTTTGTTGTAGCATCACATTAAAAGGATTACACTGGCAGAGCAGGAGGAGAAATTTCTTGTGAAGCAGCTATAGGAAATACAGTACAAGACAATTGTAGGGGGAACAGTACAAGAACAAAGAGCCACAGTGAGCAGACAACAGGTTCTCACCAGGACATTTCCAACATGTAAAAACAGTAACATCGTAAAAGTAGGCAGTTTTAGACATCTACCTTTAGTGTCCCATGATTCTGTTGGACAGTTTGTTCTTTTCACAAACATAACTGGGAGATAAACACTTAACCTTTATCAGTATGTACGGGCCATGAGAACACAATGCAACATTTATAATGAAACTATCGGGGCGTTTCACTAGTTACATTTCAGTTCCTGCATATCAATTTATTATGAAGGAGTTAGAGATCAATACACATATGAGGTCATGTGTTAAGGAGCAGGGGAGCAGCTGGAACCATCATCACCAGTATCACCAATGCAACACACACACACACAACACTCCAATTCACAGTGGCGCTCACACATATAGCTCACTGCATCACAGCCTGGAGGGGCTCCCCTGAGTATACATGCACAGACGCACAGTCTGTCACCTGCTGGAAAAGTAAAGTGCTTACTCACCCAACCACAAGATCACAGCTGAATTATTAACTATCTTTTTATTTCACTGGTCCTCCTCTGTACTTGTGCACACACACACACACCTACGCACAGCCGACTGTTAAGTCTGTCGGTGTTTTGCCATGCATGTACTGCATCCTCCCTCTCTCTCTCTCACCATTTGTCTCTTTTCTTTCTCATGAAGACAAATGTTCAGCGGTTTGTTTTTGGCACTGTGTCGAGTGTGAAGACTTCAATTCATTAAGCTGCTTTGGGATTCTGTAACAAGGGGAATTACTTTTGTAGTTGTTTGCATGTTTGTTAGAAATGATTTAATTGCACCTTTGGCTCTTCTTTTCTTTTCTCTTCTTTTTGTAACTGAATATTTATTGAACATTTGAACACAGAACAAAACCACCCAGTACACAATTTGACCAAGGCATTATGGATGCTCTTCAATGCTTAATTAGAACAAAAATGAAAAGGAATTCCAGACACTTAGGGCCCCTGAAGAGAACCCCCAATCCGCTAGTGGCAGTGAGAGTCCTTTATTCCCCTTTGAACGGCAGCCTTTCCCCCCTAACCTGGTCGTACTTAAACTTGAATCTATGTCCAAAGAAACAATAGAACCAAAACAGTTCATTAAGAGCAACATCAGAGGCAGATATAAATTCATATACATGTGCTGCATGTTTGAGTGCCCCTACTATATGTGCCTGTTGTGCACAGATACTGTATGTATGTACAGAGCATACCTGACTGACTGACAGTCACTGTCGGCGAAGAAGAGGGGAAAAAATAGAGACACACTAGGATTCCAGCTAACTCCAGTCCAAATGATTTGAGGATACATTGGAACTCTTCAGCAGTAACAGCTCTAATAGTAAGTGCATGTTGAATCACCTGTTACATTGATGGAAACATATGAAAATGATAGCATGTCACAACATGGACCTCATTGGACAATCATGACAATATCCAAAATAAGGACGGTCGCTCATGGTTCAGAGTTCTTGGCTATCCACACCTTAGCCTCCGGGTTGATGCCCCGCTTCATATTTCCATGTTGTCAAAGTGCAATAAAGCTCTCGGGCCCTTGTTTGGGGTTGCCATGGCTCCCCCCGGCATGGACCCTACCACAGATTGCTCTACTCGTCAGCAGAGTTGAATGATAGCTTCTCGCCGTTATGTACAATCCTCAGTGTAGCAGGATAAATCAGGAGTGGCTCTGTAGCTTTCTGGTGGAGCTTCACTCTGACGTTTTTGAAGCTTTTCCTCTGTTGTGTTGTTCCTGGGATGTTCTCTGCATAGAATTCCAGTCAAGTGCCATCCTGGAGAGGGGGTCTTGTCATGTGAGTTCCTCAGATGTGAGTTATTGGAGTAGATACAGTGGGCTTTGTTTGTCTCTAGTAGCTATAGCCCTGGAATCCATTAGGGAGCATTTGTTGTAGATAGCCCATTGTGTCGTCTCCCTTGGCTCCAGCAGGAAGTTCATCAGCTTTACCTTGTTTCTCCTGAACTCATCTTTGAGCTCATTAATCTTCTTGTGTAGCTTTTCCATTTGAGAGATGCGGTGATTCACATCCTTCTTAGCATAAAGGACATTTACATGCAGGGCATCTAATTTAGTGGATATTGTCTCAATAGTTTGGGTGTGCAAATTGATGTTGATTTTGAGCGAGCAAAGCACCACTATGTTCTCTACTATTTTCCGCTCAATAAGTTTTAAAGCTTGTTCCAAAATCTCAATCAACATTTCAGACACTATGTTCTTGAGCAGATCTTTCTGGGCCTCTACTGCCTGCTGTATCAGCGCTTTTATCTCCTCTGTCGCCATGCTAACTAGCTGATTGGGATTAGCCCTGAGGCTTTTCCCAGTGTTTTGTTTCATGGGGTGAGTCAAAGCTTAGGTTCCTAGTGTGTCTAAAGGTCAGAATACAAAGTGGTTTGCTAAAGTTTAAGCATCATCCATTTGGAATTGTTGCAGAATGGGGGAGGCTTTGGCCGGAGCTCAGTGTGAAGCAGCCAGTTTGCTGCACGTCTCGCCAGGGCCGGCTCTTCTTTTCTTTATCTTTCTTATCACCTCTGATAATATGAATCTCTAACTGGCTGGTAGGTGCCTCATATCTGAATAAGTCCCGAGTCACTTTTATGTAAAATTTATGACAAAAGAATGGACCCAATATCATTGACATACCACTTCCTAAGTCTGAACTGAGTGCCATTAGCAGCAGCATAAAAATATACAATAACATCACTGTCATATAGTTATCTGAAAAATTTTCAAATCTCATTCATGCCAACTTCCTGAATGAATCAAGGATGGCTGCAGCATGTGAGCACATTCAGGCGAAGTTAAACAAGAGCACCAACCTAATGTCTTGACACTTTATACTGGTCCTGTCCGATATCAGCTGCAGAATCAGAATGATGGGAACATTTATTAGGGAGAGTCAAGAGAGACCAAGCAGATACAAGTGTCTCACATGCTCATGAACGTTCATTAAAACTTCATTGAAAAAGATTTTAGCCCGTCAGAGAGGAGAAAAGCTTCTTACTTTAAATCATGAAACATCTCAACTCACTCAACACTCTGACACCACAACGTCTTTTGCACCAGGTGCTAAATATTGCAGGCAGAAATGTTCATCCATAACAGTCCCGTCATGCCTATCATATCAGGAACATTCATAAAAAAACCTACTGCATCTCTGAATGACAAAAGTCATGACTTTAGCAGTTTGATAAAGCCAGAAATGTTACATATTCCATGTCCAGGCCACACTGTAGTTTGACCACCTTTCTAGATCGCTGTGTAACGTAGACCTTTCACACTTCATTAAAAATAACGAACTGTGTATCTCTCCTACAAGCTAAAGTGTAAAAACTGTCTGGAATGTCTTGATTGACCCCCAGAACAAAAGACGTCAGTTCAGGATAAGCTGTACTATCAAGAAGATTGAGCAGACCTTTAGAGAAACTCTGTCATACACAACTGCAGATCATACTGACACTAGCTGACTCTCAACCTTATCACACAGCACAAAGGGTTAGGTGTTAGGGGGTTAGGGTTTCCTTTCTTTCTTTCAGATTCTATAAACTAAGAGCATTCATGCATCTGATGATATTTCTCTACAGAGTTAATTTTTCCTTCCTTCGTTCCTCATCTCTCCTCCCTTTCTTACCTTGCCAGGGGGTTTGTTGCTGCTCTCCCAGTTCCTCTTCTCCAGGGAGGGGGGCACTTGGTACACATCCTGCCCAGCTCCTGTACCTCTAGCTGGAGCTGCTCCCTGGCCTTGTACTGGACCTACAGAGGGAGGCACCTGGTAGATGTCCTGCACTGGGAGCTGGTACTGTCTCTGGGCTAGAGCTGGAGCCTTGTTATGGGGTCCTGGCTGGGCCTGGGTATGGGGACCACTTGGACCAGAGGGAACCTGGTACAGGCTTTGGGGGGTTGATTTGGGGCCATGGGAGGGGGGCATCATATAGACAGAGTCAGAGTTGGGCTGTGCAGGGCTGGGGTTGGAGTAGGATGGGTGCATGGACGTGTACTGAGCTGAAGTTATGGGTTTGTTGGCAAACCCAGAGGAGGAAGTAGTGATGGCAGGTGATGATGGAACCGGTGTTGGTTTGATGTAGGTGCTCTGAGGAAGGAGGGGTCGCTGCACTTGGGAGGCAGGACAGGCAGTGGCTGAATCTGGTGTCGAAGGTGTGGCCTGCTGCTTGCTGTCGTACATACCAACCAGGATTTTAAGACGGTTGCCAGGGACAATGCCTTGGCGACCATGTAGGGAGCAGAGCCACCAGCCGTCCAATCCCTGCGTATCACGCTCCAACACCGTCATGATGTCGCCCTTGCGGAAGGACAGCTCGTCTGAAGACTCAGCAACGTTGTCATACAAGGCCTTGGCCAAGACATTCTGTGGCAGAAGAAAGATAGATATAAATATATTGTAAATACTCAACTTGGTTCATGTTCCCATCTACTGTTAAACGTAGCTTTATCAACAAGGAACCAAGCTGTTTTTTAAACTATCACTCTGCAGGTTGTTAATGAGTAGAACAAGAACAACTGTAGAGAAAGTTAGGAAAACAGAACAGCTTCCTGTGTGGTTTACAGCTTCCTATTTAAAACTTCCAGTCTGTACTTCTAGAATGTGAATACATGCTGTATGGACATACGGTAGGCACTGTCTCCTAATCATTTCTGTTTTCCTTTTGCTCTTCCCTGTACTGCTAAAGCATATGAAAGACAGAATGTGAAATAAGCAAATAGCTCCTTTTAAGATACTTGTTTTTGTTATTTTTCCAGTGGGAACACACTACATTCTCATTCCCTGCTACGTAGTAAGGAACTGCAACACCAGCAGCTTTGATAAATGATTTTGATAAATGACAGCTGTGGACAGACTGTCTGTTTTTACATGTGAGAAAAATAGAAGAATCTCAGGCACAGCTGTGCATATGATTAGTATGGCAGCTACAGCATGTAGCCATATCATATTTAATTTTCCTAAATAACATGCTGTCACATATGATTTGCTAAGCCAACAAGAGGGCAAAGTACAAGGACACCGAGCTGCTCTTACTGTGTGACCGTAGATAAAGTCTGGAGTCAAATCGAAACAAAACCAAAAGGAAACCATAAATAAAGTTAATAATTCTAGAAGTGTGAGTATTTAGACAGCATCTGATATGTAGCGTTGGAGATCATATTATATTGGAGGTCAGGTTTTGCACACATTATTGCTGTTTATTGTCCACATATAAACAGCAAACAAAGCAGTATCACACTCATACGTCAACAAAGGTCAACATGTTTCATCCTGTGTGTGATTAGTATGGTAACACTTAATGATGCAAGCAGAAAATTTATTTGGCAGTTGCAAAAAACTGCTCGCGCCATGTGTTCCAAACTCCAGAAACACCTCCTCTCAGTCTATCTGGAACTCTTTGAAACTAAACCAATATTTGTTGTTCATTTCTGACCTCAGCTTGCAGTCCTCCCTCTCTGTGGCTGAGACCCACCCCAGCTTTCACAGACTGGTACAGCCTGTAGTGGCCCTTTGCCAACTCCACACATAGACACACACACACAGACCCACTAACTTTGCGAGGACACTCATTAACATAATACATTTTCTCTATCCCCTAACCCTAACCTTAAAGAGCCCATGGCATGCTTTTCCTTTTTTTTCTGACTTATCTACAATGTAACAGTGAATTATCATCTTAAATGTGACCTAAAGCTCAAAAAACAAGGTGTACATATGAGCTAGTATTTCTATGCAGAAGCAACTTGGTCTGTACATACAGGTGCAGCTCAATAAATTAGAATATCATGGAAAAGTCCATTTATTTCAGTAATTCAACTCAAATAGTGAAACTCATGTATTATATACATTCAGTACACACAGACTGAAGTAGTTTAAACTGTTGGGTCTTTTAATTGTGATGATTTTGGCCACATTTAACAAACCCCACCAATTCACTATCTCAATAAATTAGAATACCTCATAAGGCCTATAAAAAACATTTTTAGTGAATTGTTGGCCTTCAGGAAAGTATGTTCTTTTACTGTATATGTACTCAATACTTTGTAGGGGCTCCCTTTACTTTAATTACTGCCTCAATTCGGCGTGGCATGGAGGTGATCAGTCTGTGGCACTGCTGAGGTGGTATGGAAGCCCAGGTTTCTTTGACAGTGGCCTTCAGCTCATCTGCATTATTTTGTTTCTCATTTCTCATTTTCCTCTTGACAATACCCCATAGATTCTCTATGGGGTTCAGGTCTGGTGAGTTTGCCGGCCAGTCAAGCACACCAACACCATGGTCATTTAACCAACTTTTGGTGCTTTTGGCAGTGTGGGCAGGTGCCAAATCCTGCTGGAAAATGAAATCAGCATCTTTAAAAAGCTGATCAGCAGAAGGAAGCATGAAGTTCTCTAAAATTTCTTGGTAAACGGGTGCAGTGACTTTGGTTTTCAAACAACACAGTGGACCAACACCAGCAGATGACATTGCACCCTTAGTCGAGCTAAGACACCTCTGACATTGTCTGTGGTTCAGGAGTGGCTTGACAAGAGGAATACGACAACTGTAGCTAAATTCCTTGACACGGCGGTGTGTGGTGGCCCTTGATGCCTTGACCCCAGCCTCAGTCCATTCCTTGTGAAGTTCACCCACATTCTTTTAAAATAGGCTTTTAAAATATTTAGCTTTATTTTGAAAATTCTGCCCCATTCAAATGAATGTGAAAATTCAACTTCAGCACACTTTCAGCGATTTCAGCTATCAAAATGTTCAGCTCTTCAAGGACATTCATGGTTCTCTTCAGAAGTTTTCTAAACTTCATACTCTTGAAATATTTAGCTTTATTCTGAAAATCTTCCCCCATTCAAATGAATGGGAAAATTCGACTTCAGCATACTTTCAGGTATTAAAATGTTCAGCTCTTCAAGGACATTCATGCTTCTCTTCAGAAGTTTTCTAAACTTCATACTCTTGAAATATTTAGCTTTATTCTGAAAATCTTGTCCCATTCAAATAAATGGGGAAATTCCAACTTCAGCATACTTTCAGCTAGCAAAAGCATTCAGTTGTCAAAATGTTCAGCATTTTCAGGGCACTCAGCATCCATATGCATTTTTGTCAGAAAATGCAGTTTTCTAGTATGAAATTAAGATCCATCATCACAAACTCTCTACAAGTGTGGAAGAGGGTTGACTGTTCGAAGTGTGACCCACTACAGTACACCACTATGGCACAACCTAAATGTATTGTGTGGTGGCCAACCATTCACCCAATCATCCTGGCCATCTCTTATAAACACATGTGGAAACATTTATGATAATGTTCATTTCAGTACTTAAGAACTCGGTTCTCGCTTCCAGCATCCTCTTATTTGATGTATTTTCAGCTAAGGTCAGCCTTAAAAGAATATAGAGTTCCCTGGAACGCTCCCTGCACAACTCATGTTAGCCTGGATTGCACCAGTATTTGATCAAATAACTTTAATATACAGCAAATTTATCGAGCATAGTGCTGATAAGCCTTTAGTTGTTGAATCCAGCTGGGGCGGGGAGTTGGGAAGCCATTTTGGATTCATAGACTCATCGACAACATTAACCTTGAACTTATTACTGCACTGCTCAGTAAGGCTTGACCAACAGTTGATGCCTGGAAACTGTTCTTGTCAAATATATCTTTTTAGATAAAAGACGACGACTGAGGACTAAATGCAGAATAGCATACAGTGTATGAACACCTGCCAAATTCCTGTTCTGCCAGTGATGTGGTAGTAGTGATTGCTATTGCTGTTCTTTCACTTGTTATTTTACTGTAACATTGCTGTTTTGGTGACTACTGAATGTCTGTACCTCCTACATCCACATCCCATCCTGTTTGTCTGTTTGAAAAATAATAAAAACCTTTGATCACAAAATGAAAGTGTCTTCACTTTCCAAAAATGTCCTCACTCTGAAGAGAAAATACTTTTTTTTGGTCCTCACTATGTAGCAAGTACAAGAACACTCACACACACACCCCCACACACACACTAACCTAAGCAAATAGCACTTCCCATCTAAATGAGGCCGTGTAATTAGCTCCCAGTTTTATAGCCTGACTTTTCTTTCACTGCACTGAAGGCCTGTTTATGGCTCAGACTGGGCTGGGAATGAGACAGAGAAAGACACATAGCCCAGATGTATTCACTTTATACATTTATTTCATTGGCGATGTTAACACACACAGAGAACTCCTTTTTAAATGTACTTAGTCCCCCTCTGGTCAAGAAGTGATTTGCCCCATGTTCCATCACTTGAATATCTGTACTTGACTGTGCAGAGTCTGACACAAGGTTGTTCTCACATTCATCTACGCAGGGGAGCAGTTGTGTTCACCTTCAATCTGAGTTTAATATAAGTGTGTGCCAACAGGACTTTGGGACATAATAACCAGTCTGGAGCTAGTAGTGGTCCAGTATCTAACTGACAGTGGGATGTGAAAATTTGAAGCCTCCAGAGCACCAACACTGAGAATGGACTTTTCAGTGGCGTAGGGACATTTTGTGTCCAGCAGTTAAACTTTTGAAAAGAGCAATATTTGCATAGTCATAAATTCTGGGTTTTTCAGCGTGGGGGTGAAGATAGTAATAAGATGTAATTGAAATTTTTTGTGGTAAAATCATGTCAGACACAAGTTATTATTGAAAACAGAGTATATTACTGCATGTCTTAAGACATCACTGGAAGATTCACAATCTAAACTAGGTAATTGATGACTTCATCCTATCATGAAACAGGTTTGTTATTATTGGGGTTGGGCAATAATTTTTGAAGTTTCAAATAGTCATTAAATAAAATGATTAAATATTTCCTGTGACTATGGTTTTGTCTTTAAAAGACAAAGCCTTCTCCTTTACATTTACTGGTGATCTTTGAATAATTGTTGAATAGCTCCCAGAAATTATTGAATCACATTTTGGGTTTATGCTATGTAGATAACCCCAGTAGGGTCTGGAGTTATCACAATTTAAATTGCAGTTACAATGTTGATCAGAAAATTGCCCAGTCCTATTCAGTATCCACCACTGGAAGATATTGCCATGAAATGAAAGATAATGCGTGCTATAAAACACAATTTAAATGTATTAAAATGAAACTAAAATGTCAGAGAGGCATTCCACTATTTACATTCTGTTACATCAAATGCAACTGGAATTCACAAAGAGAGTATGGGAACCTATTCAGGGGGATCCCGAGACCTCATGGTCAAGTCACTGACTCATCAGCCAATCAAGAGGCTGTGTGAATCATTGTCATTGCACATCCTGTTTCTCTGGACACTAGATTGGACCAAAGATGGGGATTTCTGTATTCTGTGTGTGGCCTCGTTTTTCTGTACTTGTGCAGCCTGA